GAGATGTGATAAGAGACATGAATGAACCATACTTTTCTTTGTGCAACTAAAGAATTGTTGAAACAACCATTGGATCAAACAACTATACAAATTTAGTTTGTACAATCAATTTTTTTTCTCAGTGTGTATACAAATCGTTGGGAATTAGGAGTTCTAAAAACGTGACGATTAGATAAATTTAGAAAAGTGATTTCCCCGACTCTTTCGTATCTACAGGAAGTCCCTGTCGTATCTTCTGAATTTTTTTTTTAGTATTTTGTCCGTTGAATGCATGGAAAAAATTCAACGTTCTTTTTTGTATTATTGCAGTTCAACTTTGTCGGGAGGATTCTGGGGCCGCGGGGAATGACCGCGAAACAACTGGAGCAAGAGACAGGATGCAAAATCATGGTGCGCGGGAAAGGATCGATGAGGGACAAGAAAAAGGTAGGAAACGTTTTAAGAGGTTAAAATTCATTGAGCTTGTAGTCTTTCTCGCCTAATTGCTGTATACGAAAGAGATGAAGTCCAATGAAGTTTCATTGAGGAAAGTTCTCCGGTCAGCTAATTTAGAAACTTTTATCGACGCGCGGCATTAAATATCGCGACGAAACATGTGACTTTTATGCTCGTTAACGGACAACGAGAGTATGAAATTAATAACGGTCGTTACTAGACGACGAGACAGCTGTTATAATATTATGATCGTTTTACTAATCATAGGCCTGCTCATCGTAATCGCGCTTCATTATAAGTACTTCTCGTTTAAGAGAAATATGATGGAGCGCGGATATAATTTCATTGTAATATGAATTATGTACGACGTACGTAAATGACATTTTTTTAAATCAATAATTGAAGAGTTAATGGGCTTTAACAATAAGTGAAGAATGCTTACGATAAGTATCGGGGGATCATGTCGGGGGACAATGATAAATGGGTCTGGAATTAACTATGAGTGATTCATGTAGAGCATTAAACCAAGCGTCGTATTTTTTTCAAGCTGCACGTGGTACGCGAGCGAAATGCTTTCTCGTAAGTATATACACGTAGAAACGAACCCACAGTGTTCAATTCGATGTGAATTTGATGTGTATCTATTATTTTCTCGCCGATCAACGCAAATGTTCAATTTGTTTGTCAGTATTATTATTATCGCCACTCATTTGGTTAACAAAAGTTCCGCGATAAAAATTGACGTTGGTGTTTTGTTGGTCGAAGAATTCGCTTGAAATAGGAAGCGCGTGCACAGAGAGTACGAATTTTCTATTAATTACGCAGTTCTGTTCTTTATTTAAGTTTCTCAGAAAACCTACTTTAGATTACATATAATTTATTTACGTATTATTTAATATCATTATATTATTATTATATTATTCAAATATTATTTTAATATATTTTTTAAATAATATATGAATAATAATTTTATGTAAAGTCTGTGTGTAACTTCGTGTCGCGCGGATGTATGTTTATGTGTATGTGCGAACAACAAATGCTTGCGTGCGTATAACAATTGCGCGACGTGTTGATTACCCAGGAGGAGCAGAATCGGGGCAAGCCGAATTGGGAGCACCTGACGGACGAGCTGCACGTGCTGCTCACTGTCGAGGACACCGAGAATCGTGCCACGTTGAAGCTCGCCCGTGCCGTCGAGGAAGTCAAGAAGCTGCTCGTGCCCGTGGTGAGAAAGTTCCAATTGTATACTCCTTCCCCTCGTACGAACGATAATAACCCCGTGCGCTAAGAACGGGAAGAGAGATCTCGCCGGGAGAGTTTCCCACATTGTTTTTTTTTCTTCTTCTCTTCCCTCTCTAGTTTCGAATCGAAGACCGAAAACTCGATGGAAGCGTGGCCGCGCGCGCGCGCGAGCACGCGGGAAAGACATCGGAAAATTTCCAAGCAGAATTAAGGAGAGAAAAATTGCTGTTATTTTCCATGCGAGTCGAAACAGTGCGTTGTAAACGCCGTGTGTGTCGAAGCTCGAAACACATGCCACTTCCGAAGTGAGTGGCCTCGCGTATCGTGTGCGCGCCACGTTAGCCGTTAGCCATACAATCGGCGCTTTCATATGTAAATGGAAAAGATCTGTACAATGTCGGGCTCCCCCATTCGTAGGATAATTATCGCTGCACCTCCGGTGGTGGGTTCTGACGTTAATGTCGATTGTTAGCAGGCTGACGGCGAGGATGAGCTAAAGAAGAGGCAGCTAATGGAACTCGCCATTATCAATGGGACTTACCGGGATTCGAACACAAAGGTTGCCGCCGCGGCAGGTACCGTTCGTAGAACTTGTCTCATTATATCGTGCTTAATATCGGGGCCCCCCCGCGAGATCGCGATGCCTGCGAGACATCGGGAGACATCGCGGAGATCTAAAAAGAGAAATACAAGATTTCGCGAAATAGACCTTCTAACGAGAGATCCATTTAGAATGTTACTTTACTGCAATCGTAATTTACCTCATCGTATTTTATAGAGGAACGACGTACGATAATCGTCGTATGACGTATTTAAAGATAATGACAAATGTGATAGATTAACGTTTGAACATCTCGTTCCGCGCATTACTGACGAATCTAATGGAATAATTTTCGCGAAGTTAACGCGGTGTTGTGTCTTCAGCCAAATCCGGGATTCCCGGTACACCAGTTGTCGGAAAAGTTCGGGAATAAACATTTGTGGATATTAATTCTGGTCATGATTCTGGCATGCAATGGGCTAGCCAGAAGTGAGAAATTGTAATAGTCGCGAGGTACCTGCTTGATTTTTTTTAAACTTTTTTTCCGATCAACTGTAATTCGTTTTATTCGCGACGTATTTATTTTAGTCGTCCGAAACTAGTTTAGTCAGTCGCATTAGCGACAGGTGGAGAGCACCTTAAAAGAGATTTCGGAGAAACTTGACTCGAGATGTACGTCCAGATTATGCGCGGCATTGTCAAAATCAAGGTCGACTCGTGAACGGAGACGACGTTTGATGAGGCAAGTCATTTTTTACACTCCGTATTTTTCTGTTAGTTTGCCCGGTAAAGAGATCTCTATTTCATATAATTTATCAATAATAAATCCATATATCAGATGTGTATATAATATTAATATATTAATCTCTGTGACGTTTGATGTATCATAATCCGTTCGGAGACGGATTTCAAGTTTCTCCTCTTTGCTCCCGAATTTTTCCCTATCGTTGTGGCGCACGCAGCGATTGTTGTGCCCAGCGATCGTCGTAGCACTCGCGGGGACCAACCGTTTCGGTTGAAGGCGAGGCAGGGAAGCCCAGCCATTCAGCACCACTCGCTGTTGCAGCCTGCGACGAGGAGTGGCGGCGGGTGGCCGCCGCCGCGGCAGAGACGCAGCGTCTGCTGCCGGGTCTGGCGACGCCGATGCGGACTCCGAGCGCGCCCTTGGGCGCGCCCCTGATCCTGTCGCCGCGGATATCGGTGCCGACGACCGCCGCGTCCCTGCTGAACGGCTCCGGACCGCCCGGCTCGCTTCTGTCAGCCGGCGATCCCCACGGACTCATCTACACGCCGTACGCGGACTACGCCAACTACGCCGCCCTGGCCGCCTCGCCGTTGCTCACCGAGTACGCCACTGCTGATCATTCTGGTGGGTTGTTTGCTCGTTGATCGCCTCCCGTTGCCGTGTCCCCCCGACCCCTTCACCACCCGCGGCACGAGAGAAACGGAGGACGACCGAACGTCTCTCCTTTTTATATTATGACACGAAAAACGGGGCTTTTTATACGCGGAAATGTTTTTTTTTTTTAATTTTTCAACAGAGAGATGCGCGCGCGACGGAGGGGACGAAGCCGTGCGTTTTTATTATTTTTGGTTAATATTATTATTATTATTATTATATCGCATGCGGCATGTGTCTCTGACGATTGGTGACTCTCTCTGTCTTTTCGTTGACAATAGTATTTCTTTTCCCTGTGCTGTGAATCTCTTAAGGATTAGACGAGCAGCGAACAATTAGCAGGAAGAAATCCTTTTGGAAAGTTGATTATACCGTACATAAAAATATTTTGTTGAAGCAAGTTGCTATAAAAGGTTGCCCGTCTAATCCCAGTATCGGTGCAAATTTTTATACGTTACATGACATTCGGAAATTGTCACAGGAGAATGAAACGAAGTTGAAAACAACGTTAAAGCGTTGAATTACGCGAAACGCGAAGGACACGGACACAGCAGGGAGCGTCACCAGTCGACACGTAGTACGTGTTCCATCACGTAAATTTGTAAGACGATAATTGTTAATTACGAGCCTAATCGCTCCTGATAGCCGTTAATTATTATTATCCACGTCGCATCGTCATAGTTATCGCCTTTTACCGTCGCGTCATTATCTCCGTTATCATCGTCGGTCGTCGTCCTCGTCGTCCCGATCGTCATCACCGTCATTATCATCATCATCATCATCATCATCATCGCCATCATCGCCGTTTAGCGGTTAGCGTACTTTCTGCGAGGATAGATTAGGGTTATAGAAACACAACCGAAATCAGTCATTTACTAGTCGCGTTTTCAGTTCAGATTATTTTATAATTACGTGAAAGCCTTAGCGTGTAATGTATATGCACCGCCTTCGAAATAATTGTGTCACGAAGATTCAGGGTTATCAATAGCGATAGAGAAGAAGAAGTGGCAGGAACTCGGGCAGAAATCGCGGCTTTAGGCCGTGTGCTTCGGCGGGATTCTATCAGGAAACGGTATTAGGTGTTAGGTATATAGGAGGAAACGGGGCAGAGACGCGTACTCGTATATACGTACTCGTCATGTGTGCTGTATCGCGTGTGGATGTAGCTATACTAGTCCGAAAGCTTTTCTTTCTTTCTTTCTTTTTTTTTTACCGATATCGCGCCGTTCACCAGCAGCCACGTGTTTCGCCGTCTGGAATGCATCTTTCTCCTCGAGCCGCCTTTAGGGTAACTGCACGGTGCAATTTTTGCTCGATAAAGCGGGATAAAAATATTCTACTCGGTCGAATTGAGATTTCCCATGTTTCCTTCTCTCTTGAGGTTCTTTTTACGTATTATTCTTGAAGTAGATTAATCTAAAAGAGTTTTTTAAACTCACATGTACAGAAAAAAGAAAACAAAAATACATCTCTTGCCACGTGCGAGAAATATACTTTCGAAACTAATAATATGTGAAATTTAACAGAAAACTAAATTATTTTTGTTGGATTTTACATTGATTTTTTTAGTGGTATATTATACATTGCTTGAAATTATACAATTTGAATTTGAGACCGATACTTCCATCTTTCGAAGGACCTTCGTTTTCTGACAGATCGGGCAAATCTCGCACCGTGCGACGTAGACGTGCGGTCGCCAAGGAGATCGTGGAAGTTCATCGCGGGGAGACTCGCGTCGAATTACGGCGAATCTGCAGCCAGTTAGGTTATATATTAGCCAGAGACAAACCCCCGCAGAGTCTCGTCTTCGAGAAAAGAAAGGAGAAAAAGAGAAACACGTCGAGATATTTCGGTTACGTGAGAAATAATCCCGTCCAGTCCTCCTCCACCAAGTATCCAAAGTACTTCCCGTCGAGAGTGGTACGAGTCTACCGACTCCACTGACGCACGCGGACGTTCGATCCCCCCGGGAGGGCCGGGTTTAAAAGCCGCGAACCCGACGAGACTGTATGTACGTCCGGGAGTGCGATACTCCCGAACCGCGCGTGTTCCTCGTCACACGGAAGATCGGACGCGTCTTTCTTCCCTCCCCGATACAAAGGCATCCAGTTACCCGGTGAATGCTCGCGCATTCGCGCGTCTTTTAATGCATAGGACACCCTTTATATATGTACATGTACATGCGCGTATATCTCACGTTGGAGGTGTTTTTCTTTCTTACGATCGATGAGAGATCCGTAATAACGACGCGCTGTCGCGCATTACTCAATGCAGTAATCAAAGGCCATTCTTGTTGTAGCTATTTTTACAGATGTATGTACGTATGTACGCACGTACGCGCGTAGGTATATATATATATATAGATTTCAGAGGATATATATATTATATATTTATTGAAGTAGAAGATATTAATGTGTTGTGCATAATATTAAATAGATTTACATATAATACATAATAGATTTGTTTTCCTCAAAGCTTGTCTTAGAGTTCGATTTGGTAGCTTTGATGGCAAGGAACGTGTAACGTCGTCATGGACGTTTCATTTCCTTGCTAAAGAGAATAATCAATTTTAATCAGCAGTCTATCGACAGGGTGGTGACGGTACATTAATCGAACTTTAGTCCGCGTTCTTCTTTTTATTTTCTTTATTTTCTTTTTTTCTGTTTTTAATCTCGCAAACGCATTCTTTATCACGCCTGACTTAAATTACACTTTTAACGGTCGATCGCAACTACGAAGTACCACTAGAATCCCAATCGAAATCCCTCGGGTTGACCTAACACGCTGACTAAACAACTAATAACTCGATCCGTCCGCCTCTCTCTCCTGCGACACACAATCCACGTCTCACACTCACATTTTCCCTTTCGTCTTCTCTCTCGCTTCCGCGCGCCTTATCCGGATGAAAACCTCGTACCTCTAATTACGTAACTCTTTGACGACTATAGCGAAGTAATTACGCGCGAATCGTCCAGCGATAGTCATCTGAAGAGAAGAACAAAAAAACCCCCCGGAAAATAAGAAGAGTACTCGATTGTGAGACTTCCGAGGCAGCGTATAGCTTTACCTTTTATTTTTTTCCCTTCCTTCTCTCCTCGCGCGAGAGGAGGACGTATAATCGCCGAGTTTTCACAGCTTGAAATCGAATCGGTCGAGGTGATCGAGCCGTCGATCGCACGATATAGCAATCGGATTAGCGAGCAATTTAGCGAGGACTCATCGGTTAATAAACACAAATTGGATCTATCGCGCGACACGCCATACGATGGCTGGTGATAGGTAGCCTTATAATGTAATGTACGTAGGATTCTCTTCTTTTAGGCAGGCAGTATATAGGTGGAGGGAGATTATTACCCAGGGACCAAACAATTATTTTGAGGACTGATGGTTCTAGCGTTTACTTGTAGCGAATCCAGACGATACGGATAAGACTATGCGTTGAAAAAGTACCTCCCCTCCCCCCTTTTTTTGTTTTCTTATCGCGCGTTCACACCCCCCCGCCCCTTTTTGTAAAAAAGCAAACAAAGAAGAATCGAACGATGATTTTAGCGCACGTATATTTATACAGATTATTTTATAAACACGCAATACTCTTTTTGATGGCATAGTCTTTAAGTTAAATATTTAAATATTTAAATATGCAAATCGTAAAAAATATATATGTATACATATACACATATATATCATTATCGTACGTATATATATATTATATATATTATTTTATACGTTTATTTAATTTTATTTTTATAAAGATTTAGCCGTTTACATAGATATATTTATACGAGGTTGAGGGCCGAAGCAACGGGTAGATGTTAATCCCAATACTCATTGTTGTTAGGAACGAGTAGAATGGTTGGATACATTTTTTTAGCTTACATGACAAAGACTTACCTGATTTCACTGACAAAAATCAAAAGATGCGCGACGATTGAGCCGCGCGCGTGAAAAGAGCGAGCGGGTTTACAGCCCCGGTGTCAATGATAGCTTTTCTCAAGTCTATAAATATTTAATGAATTTTATATATATTATACATATACATATATATACACACGCACGCGCAAAAATCTCTCCGATGTACCTAGATACGAGCGTCGATACAAGCGAAAAGGAAGGTGTCATATCTATATATATATATATGGTAGACTCGTTTTAAATAGGTAATAAGTAAGTAAGTATGTGTGTCTCTCCGACGGAGCCGCGTCTCGCCTTCCGTGGGCAGACAGAGATTGTTGTTTTTTAACATGAAGTTTCAGGGACGCACGATTTCACTGACGATTTTACAGTATTCTTACAGAGTGTTCTGGTAGGCAAGAGCTGCTTTGCCCCGCTACAGGCCTAAAGACTACGACCGAGAGCGCGAGCCCACGTGAGATCGGGACGAGCACGCGAAGACGCGGTCGCGTGTCGCGAGATCGTCACGCGAATCGCTGCTCTCTATCGAGACGATCTTTGAGTAAGGTGATCCCGAGGTACTCTGCACGCGAATGAATATATTCATAAACGACGCGAAATCGACGTCTGGATCGATTCTGGACGAAACGAAATTAGACTACGTATCTTTGAAGTTATACGTCTTCGGCAGGAAAATGAAGCTTGAACTCAGTACCTCCAAGTCTCGTTACTCGGAGATATCTCGGTGTTATATTCAATGTCGAGCGGCAATCGTCTCTGATATTGAATCTAGAGCAGCGACGTGTCTCCGCATATTCCACGCTCACGATGCTCGAGCCGAGAGTAAATAGAGAGCATCGGGGGGTGTTCGCGCGTTACCGTATTTCCGCAGTATTTCTAACATATCCGCAGTATTTTCGCGCGTGTATTTCAGGCATTTAATTAGCTTCCGCGTACTCCGCGTTTGGAGCCCCGGAGGGACCGCGATCGCGTCGACGATCGTGATGAGCTCGCGCGCTCGGTCGTAGGCTGGAGGCAACGATCAGCATTAATCCGACGACGTCGCCACGAACCGATCGCTTACGGATGAAGGCGGGGGGGTGGCTTCTTCCGCTTTTTCGGCGGAGTCGAGGCAACCCGCTCCCATCTCGTTGGTGCGTTGTAGCGGCGTCGTCGCCGGGGGACCCGTGCACAGAGAGAAAGAAAAAGAAGGGATTTTTTTTTCTCCTCTCGCAAGTGTATCATAAATTAGTAGCGTGAATTAATAAAATCCATATTTAATCTCTGTGCTCCGGTACTGTCAGGAGAAAAATTTTCTGTAGCACGGGTCTCTCCTTCCCCGATGTGTGTCGTTTTTTTTTTGCACTGATAATAGCGGCAGGATTCTAGATTTTTTTTTAGCGGGCCAAGACGGGCGGACGGGCGCGGATCCCTTGCGGGTTCGCGCGGCGAAAAGTGATCGTGCGCCGGAAGTGACGGTTCATACTGACCATACTGACCATGCTGTGTGTATGTTGGCGATAGGCGCAGCGGCGGCCGCCGCCAAGCAGCGTAGGCACCTGGGTCAGATCCGCGAGCACCCTTATCAAAGGGCCGGCGCTCTCTCGTGAACACACAGAGACGGTGCGAGTACACAGAGAGAGCGAGAGAGAGAGAGAGAGAAAGAGAGAGAAAAAGAAAGCGAGAGAGAGAGAGAGAAAGCGAGAAAGAGCGAAAAAGAGAGAGAGAAACAGAGCACTGTTCCCGCGCCACCGCGGAAAGGTTAGTGTCTGCACAGGCAATCAATTAAGTTCTCTCTTTTGTCCTCTTATTTTTTATCTTTTTTTATTCCTCCAACGTCTTCTTCATCTTCCTTGCAATCTCGACGTCGGAATGGTCGAGACCTCTTACGTGACTTACCCTCTGAAAATCGGAAGATAACGACGGCGGTCGCTAAAACTAGATTGATACAAGAAGCTTTTTTGCCTCTGCATTTGAAAAGAAATTAGAGAATTTCTTTTCTTTGGAAGGGGAATTGAATAATCTCATTCTAGAAAAGGAAGAAACTGTAGCCCATGGCAGTCGTTTCGAATTTGTTAGAGAGAGTTTGTCTTGCTTTCCATTTGACAGATGTGATGAGTTTGTATCAATCTGACCTACTTCCGTTTTGGCGAACGCCTTTGGTTTACACTTAACTTTTTGATAACTTTTATTATTGCGTACTTATGATAGACCTAACGATAAAGTTGTCTATATTTAAATAATTGCGAGAGTTCATCTAATAGAGTACTCATTGACAGACCATTCCGACTAGAGATATATATATATACATATATATATATATATATATATATATATATATATACACATATATATGTAGCTTTTTATGTATGACGAGACCCGCGCAGCACAACACGCGCGCCTCGGTTTTGGCTCGTGCTGAAGCCGCGGCGAAAACATACGGGCCTTTCACACGTGTCTCCTCCTGCACGAGCGTGCTGTTGCTCGGGAAGCTTTCACTCGGGCTCTGGAGCCCCCGCGAGAGCGGACAGCAGCAAACGCCTGATATGTGTGCGCGCGCGTCTCGTCCTGTGTACCTGACGCCGCACCGATCGACATCGGTTGTGTCTCATCGGTTGAAGTAGCACTTCTCGTTTACACACGTATACATATGCAGATAGATTTCCGGTGACCGTGACGGAAGAATTGATTAATGTCGCAATATACATGTATAGCCCCCTACCTATATCAAAAAAGGAGAAAAAAGAAAGAGAAAGAGGGATACAGGTCGCACACCTTCCCCCGGACCATTCCAAACGTTGGAAAGCCGCGTAACTTTCATTAGCCATAATAGTACGCGAGTCGAGGTAACGGGAAAGAAAGGGAGAGGTATTCGAAGAGTGAGAGAGAAAGAGAGAGAAATCACGCATGGGCGGATTGTGGGTT